AATGAAAATAGTACTTCAACTTAGGGAAGAAATGAGGTCCTGGGATCTCACTTCCTTCCGCAATCCCTCCTTAAAATATGATGATTTTGTGAATGACAACCCTATTGCTCCACATTCACAAAGTCATCTGTATTTCCAATGCTGTGGCTGCAGAGGCATTATCACATCCTTCCAGGTGAGGCATGGAGTATTTTTTTTTAAGTTTTTAAGGTTATTTTTTTTAAGGGTTTTTTTGGGTGGGATTTTTTTTGTTTTGTTTTTATCATTTTACAGATTATATTGTTTAAACTCATCTGGATGAAAAGGAGTTCACAAATGCATCATAATATTGTTCATATTATTTGTACCTGCTGTAATATAGCTTTATGAAAAAAGGCAATTTAAAGATAACCAAGAAAAACATCCTGCTATATCCTCTTCATTTATGCTTTCATTGTACTCGATAAATACGCATAGTTTGGCTTAAACCCAACCTTTTTGTCATCTTTGTCATGTTTGTCATCTAAAAGACTCAAAGATATCCAATAGAATCCAGAAGGATCAAAACACTGATTAAGGACAATCCATGAATAATCAACATTTTTTCCTACAGCACAGTTGGATACCAATATAAAAACTGGTTCATATTCAAGTTTTCATTTAGAATGTACATCAGTCTTTGACCTCGTTGATGCTACACCTTGTGCACGAATGTCCACACAAATGCAAAACCCCATTATATTTACATACACACTGGGTTGTATTACTCAGCCCACAGGGATGTAATTGTGATGACAAATAAATAATGATTGATGATTTTCAGTCTTGATATGGTAACTTACATGATTTCATATGAGTTGGTATTTGACATTAAAATGATGTTGAGCACTTTGATACCAAGGCAAATAAAATCACAAAGGTGGTCTTGGGTAAAAATATAAGATACAAAGAAATGGCCTCCTGAGTGGTGAATTAGTAAAAAAAAAAAAAAAAAAAAGTAAGAGCAAAATGTTACTTTGGATAAAATAGAAAGAGATTTTTTCCAGAGTTTTCTTACAAAATGAACAAAATTAAAATTGGAGAAAAACTACTCCAACCTCCCATCTCTCTCCAAAAGTTCCAAAGCTTCAAATCAAAACTGATATTTTGACTTAGAAACAATTTGTTGTATGTCCTAAGAACTTTTTGAAATTCCAGAAAAGAAAAACTTAAGACAAAGTGACAGGCTTACAGTTTAAAGTGTTTCCCATCCCTGTTTTAGTTGCCCTAGTTAGTCAGTTCCACGGTACATCCATAAACATTCCAAGATTCCCAGAAACTCACCTTTCACAAAGAGATTTCTTATTTATTGAACAACCAAAGTCTTCTGTTGAATCTGGATCACATCTGAAAATCTCTTCACTATCAATTTGATGCTGTAACAATGCAAAATAATTTTTTTATCTTCATTTATTCAGTGAGAAGAGAGAATTTGAGCCAAAAAATCAGTGTATTTTAGTTAAAAAACAAAAGTTACATAGACAAGATAGAATGATGATTGGGGTTGTTTTTGCATTTCATCTGTCTTGTTAGGAGTGATAAAGCTGTCTTATTGATAGCATATTATTGGTTGTTTCTTCCAAATATAACCTTGCATATCTTACAAATCTGGCAATTTATCTATTATGTCAAATGCTGCACAGTACCTTGAATAGGTGTTATTATACAAATTGACCTTGCAATAAATCATATAGTTCATTGACTACTTCAGTGCATAAAGACAATCCCAGGAGGTGGATTAGATAGACAGCTCTAACAGTGAGTGGATGTGTGGAGCACTGGTGTCTATGGGATCTGCTGGGTGCTGAGCAGAGAGTGTTGAGGTCTCAGTTTTTGGCTGGTGGGGTGGGACAATTTAATTTGTGGGAATTTCTCTGAGGCTTTTTCCTACAAAAACTGATACTGATTATTTCACCCATTTATTGATGATTTCCAGTGACCATCCTTTCCATTCCACCCAATTACTCTGCAAAGCATTACACTGCTGTCTCAAGTGGAGAGAAATCTTTCATTGAATAAATCCATCCTAGTGCAAAGTGCTGTCCCTCTGAAAGTGAAATCGTAGCTGTTCTGAAATCACTGTTAAGTCTTTCATGGCCCTCACAGAAGCTGAATTTCCCCCTGCAGACTACAGAGACTAGTTGTTCCTCCTTCTTTCTGGGACAACATGATCTGTAACTGTAGGCAAGTTAGAGTCTTCTTTTTCTCACTTATCAGGCAAATGCAAGCGTAGCATATATTATGCATGCATTATACATTTCCTTTCTTATTGTCAGCTTGCATGCACATTGACAACACAGTCCTAACTCAACATAGCATTTTAAGCACATGTTTGAACTTAAGCCACAGTGAAGCCTATTCTCAAACACTTTACTGAATGAACATCTCTGAACACATCATCATGGCTATTTTTTCTTTCCAGCTTGGCACACGCTATGTTGGAGAGGGCCAAATTTCAACTGTGCTATTATATTTTCCTCCTTTTGGAGCAAAATTATTTTCCTGAGGTCTTAATGTGCAGATGAACTAAGAGTGTATTTCCAGGCAAAAGTGATTAGAATTTTAAGGTAATTGGATTTTGCAGAATTCAGCTTGCTATGAAAGTCTGGATCACTGGATAGGATGGTAATATTTAGAGGAATTTGTAATCCAGTTTTGCTTCTGCCATTCATCTAAACTCAGTAAAACACAGGACTGACAGCGGATGTATTTGGGATGGAAACAAGAAAGTTAATATTGCAACAGCGTGATTGCTATCTGTCTTATATTGACACTCCTATTTATGTTCCTAGGTGTAGTTTAACTGAATCCATCCCAAAAGAGGGAATAAGAGAATCTGTTTACAGATGTCATCTGCTGTTGAACTGCTATTGCAGAATAGCCATTTTAGTCCATTTTGTTTTGCATAAAAGACAGTCTCAGTTTTTATATACTGGAATAAAACTGGTATTGTTTCATATTTGCTTTGCTGATTTCCTTTTCTGTGCAGAGGGATGTTATCTATGTGAATCTACAACACTGAAGTCTTCAATGCTTCAGAAAAGTTTGAGACTAGGAAATCTGTGTGTCTTTTATCCTCTGAATATGATTAATGATGCTTTGTGTTTTGCAAGACATTATTAAAAACAGAAGCCTATGACTTCATTGTCTCTGACAACGACTTTGAACATGGGGTCAGCTATTCCACTTTTACATTTCTTTGCAAGATTAAAAGAAAGTAAAGACTATTGCATTGGGAGGGGGGGAACTTTACACAGATTTAACAAAGCAGAATACACACACGTTTTCAATATGCTTCTTCCAATGAAAATTCACCTCATTCATACGATACTGCTGGTAAGCAAACACTAGTGACAGGCAAATCTAGCCATCAGGAAAACATACTGGGCTCAGGATTATCTCAAGTACCACATGCTAGAATTGTTGAAAATGTTAAGGGAAGAGTTCAGAGTTTGATAGAGAAAATTACAAGTAACAGATAGAATTTTTTGGTTCCATTCCTGGACATTCAGTGATGAACAAGGAAGTTATCAAGCAGAACTGAAACAAACTGGGCAACAGCAAGAATTCATTTAAAAATATTAGTGAGCAACTACATGTCAGCGCTTTTTTATTTTAATGTAAAATACACTACTTTCACAAGCTGAATGTGCTATACCTTTATAAAGTTTATATGCAGTACTGCATAAAGTGCTGGAAATGCTAGGTCTCCCTTTAATATCTAAACAGGAAATTATTCTCTCTTTTTAAGCTATTCTGTTCATCTGTGATGCATTATTTTATTGAATTTCTGCAATGTAAGGGTTATTTTTTTTTACTGATATCTTCACCTTTCATGAATGTCAACAACATTCCCACTGTACTAAAAGCCTAAAAGGGGAACTGAAAACCTCACAGAAATTAATGATAAAATTCAAAATTATTTCAGCAACGTTGAGGTTTTGCTCAGTTGAGCTGAGAGTATGGTTGCAATAAAACCACTATTGCTTTGACCATTGAGAGAGGAATGAATGTTATCTAACACTGGCAGTTTTCTGCCTTCAGAACACTCATGTAGAGAAGTCAGGAGAAAATCATGGTACTTTTCCAGCTGGTTACGCTTTTCACTGTCTTTAACTTCATTGTAAATTTTGTCTGTGGAATGAACCTTGCTGCAACTGGCTTGAATAAATATGAGACTCTATTACTCAGTTATAAATTTATCTTGCATATTATCAAGGCCCCTTCTTTGAGATCTACTTTGACCTTTCAGGTTTTCATTTGCCTTCAATGGTATTGTAAACAGAGAGCAATGTAAAATAAATTTTATTCAAGATATGGTGAATGAAGGGGTGGAAAAATCAGTAAATATCGCATTGAAGATTATGCTGTCTGCCTTAATCAGAAGATTTTTCTGATAAGATTTATCAGAAATCTAAAACGTCTCCTGTAATATGATCTGCTTTTTCACTTTTTACCCATTTGACAATTTTAAAATCACATCTCCCCACCACTGCCTGCTCATGAACCAATTAGAAATCATTATTATGTTGTTCACACTAACACTGAAACACAAGAATTTTTTCAGAGATAAGTCTTGAAAATGAATCAAAACTATGCAGAATAATAGGATCCCTTTTCTTTCTGTGCATTAGAATAAGAAAGAATTGACTACTATTTGGAAGGGTAATTTTACCAGCTGGACTTTTGGAAAATGGAAGTATAATTCTCAAATTTGCAGAAATTTTGGCCTGCCTGATTCAAGGTTAAAAGACAAACATTTAAAGAAAAGGATTTCACTGCATTTAATTTCACACTGGAATGTGCACCATGGATCTTAACATTACCACTGAGGGCTCCCCACCAGCCTATAAACTTCCCTACGACTTTAGCTCAGAATTGATCTACTGCACTGCAATAAAATTAATAGAAGGTAGATTTAGTAAATTCTGTTACATTTTCCTAACAATACAGAAAAATCTGAAAAATACCACTCACAAGAATATTTTTCCCTGATGTGTATTTTATTAAATAGGAGAGATGTACATGTTTTCACAAAGAATAAGCACAACGAGGTATTCTAATTACCAAATAAAGGTAAAAACCAACAGCAGCTTTTAAACTGTTGCTCTACTGATACTTTTATTTGTGTAAATAACAAGTTTTCTACTATAAGCAATGGTTTTATTATTAGTCAGAAATATGCAGCAGCCAATGTTGTATTGGGATGCTCTGATACATGAAGATATGTCTTTCATACACACAACTTTTGTATAATATGTAAAATAGATAAAACACATATACGTGAACATAAAAGATCATTTTATTGAAAGTGTAATATAACTGTGTCACTGTTGTCTGATGCATTCTTCATTTTCTTATCAATAGTATAAATCTAAAGAGGTCCATTACTTCATACAGTAATAGAGTTGATCTAGTTTTAGTTTAACCAAGAGCAGGCTCCTGTCCATTCTTCCTGGTTTCTCTTCATAATCAGTTTCAGAGTATTACTGTTCTAATGTTACATACACCTCACTGGTTACCAGGCCACAACCTGACCTTAAATTTGTATGAAAAATTAAGTGGAAGGCAGACGATTGAGCTGTGGTTTCTTTCAGTTTCATATCATTGCCCTTGCATCTGGCGGGGAGGAAAAAAAAAGGCAAAAAAAAGGCAGCTGCCTGATACCAAAATGTCACTTTTAAGTTTTACACTGAAAAAGCACTAAGCAGGGCTTACTCAGAGTCATTTTTCAGCCAATTCTTCTTCCTGGAAATGTGATGATGTGAAGACAGACAGAGCTGAGGGAAGAAACAGTCCAAAAGCCATCTCCCTCACTCTATTATTACGAATCACCCCTGTTATAGAAGGAAAACTACACATACTCAGCATGCTTCAAAGAAGGAAAATGATGTGACAAAGCCATGAACTTAAATTAAACAGATCTGATCTACACAACCAATGTAATGGCTGCATATTTTTCCGTTTAATTAAAAAATAGCTTAAGACCTTTGTTACAGTATGTGACATCAAGTTAATATAGTAAATCAGAATGCAATTAATTAGCACATCTGTTCCAAGAGAGTTTCATAGCTTGAGTTTGGTTGATTAAGTTAATTTAATTAAGATTTTTCTGTAGGGCTAAGGTGAATCTAGCTTATAAATACCAAGCACTTTGAATTAAAGTTCGTACAATATTTCAAACCCATTGTCTTAAACCCCATTACTTTAGGATTTTAAAATATTTGTGTACCAGAAAGTACATTTACTCATACTCATACTGGCATGTGTAGAATTAAACTACATGTGACTTTAAAAATGAGACTTCTCAATTCTCAGTTCATATTTTTCTTTCTCTTTTGTAATAAGCAAATTTTACACATCAGAAAGGAATGCAACAGACTTATTAAATAACACATTTCTTTTAAGCCCTCAATGAGGCAGATGATCTGTCAAATAAGTCATGTGGTATTTATAAAAATGTGGACAATTAGCAGCAGACAAAATATTCACTGCTGCATTGCTGATGCATTAAAAATTCCTTTGAAATTTACGTAGAAGCATGCAGGAGACTACTGATTTCAGCCCAAAGCCACTTTGCAAGAGTAATAGAAATGTTCTCCTATGAGCATTTAAAGAGAATTTTACTAGCAAAACAGCAGCAAAGTGAAAGAGGTTTAGAATGTTGACAATAGATATGGGAACATGATTTACCTAGAGAACTTAATCAGAAAAACAGGAATGGATTCTCCATTCCATTATCATCTTTGAGAGAAGGTATCACCCTTGGTGTCTCTCTTGCTCCTTTCTTGGGCATGGACTGCAGGCTAAAGAGGAAAAAGAAACAAGAAGGATTATCTTTAATACATACAAATCACCAAAATATATTGTGGCCTCCTAAAAGAGAGTGTGTTGGTGGCTGTGGACCAGCACTGCTGACTTCTCTACCTGAGTTAATAATATAAAGCACCACACTAATTAGCAGATTAAAACCAGAACTTGTAAGGTAGGATTTGCCTGACCTATTTGAGACTACACCTCTACTTTATGATAGAATTAATTTGCCCTAGCTGTTCCTGCCTGTCCTCACTGATTTGCGTAATGAAATACATTTCAGTCAGATGAATTAAATTCCTAGAGGAATGGCTTAATACAGCTTTTGAGAGGACAGCAGATAATATGGCAGCAGCTCTTTTCATGTTATTTTTATTAACATCTCTGCCCAAATTATAGTTTACACTGGAAAATTTGAAGAAAAAAACTTTTTCAAGGTTTGTTCTCCATGGTTTTCTACCATTCCAATAAATTAACTTCAGTGAGGTCAACTCAGTCTTCAGAGGGTCATAAAGCAATTAGGTCCATTTTTTCCTACTGACTTCTCTCCAAATTCTAAGGACTCTGGACAAAAGATATTTTTATTAAAATGTCAGCACTCTTCCCTTCGACTCTGATGCAAGACTTCACAATACACTATTCTGATCTTTCCCTCTTTACTCCCTCAAGCAAAATTAGGATGCAACTACTCAACAGTTGACTAGTTATTTTTAAAAGAGCTGGGCTGGGAAGATAAGGTGTGAGGTAACAGCTGTAAAGATACACAACTGTTTGCATATGGTTTCTGTACAGAATGTAGAGCACTACTGTGACCCAGATAGATTGAAGGATTTACTGTCTCTGGGTGTGCTACAAGTCTCCAGGTCTTTCCTAGTAAAATTTTAGGAGGATCTTTTTTTTTCTCCCTAGTTATTATCTAGTTCATTGACTTCTGAAACACTGCTGACCTTCACACTTTCTCACATATCAGCTTGTATGACATCTAGCTGATCAGACTGAAAAAAATATTAATGCTGTGCTCTACAGATTCATGGGCCAGCACTGACTGTGACCTCAGTTATCATCCATAGTCAGGTCACAGTGCAGAATCAGTGATTTTCCTTTTTTTGTTCTTGTGTTCGCTCAGGCAACAACATTGTCCTATGACCTATTTCAGCTTGTAATGCAAAAACAATCAAGATGACTCAAAGTGAGAAGACTAAAGCAACAAAACTTGTTGTTTCAATAAACATCCACATTCCTTTCCAATGTATGTGTTACTGAAATTTGAAGAATAGAAAAGTAGATAAAATGTGGCTTTGATTAAAGCCAATATTTGTTAGGGTTTTATAGCTTGGTTATGAAGAACTTACATAATCAATAAGTTCCAGAGCATTGGTTAGTTATTAAATTCATTCAGATGAAAAAAAAAAAAAAAGCCAGGAATATTAATCATGACTTTGGAAGAAATTTTTTTTTTTCTAGAAAATCAATTTTTAACATTATGGATTTGGTTTGTGGTGGTGTTCTTGTTAATGAGAGATTCAAATTAATTACAGCTGATGCCAGGGAAAGAACATGTTCAGCATTGTTGAGTCATACATATGTGAGGAATATCACTGCTGTTTTTTTATTAGACTGTGAAATTACTACTCACTCTTACAGAATAATAAAAAATGTATTATGGAAAGGGTTTTAATGCAATTTCTAGCTATAAATGATAGATATGTTTTGTACTCGAGGCAGTAATATTTTCTCTAAATGCATACCATATAGCACTTCAATTTGAAATGAGGGAATAGCCTACCCAAACTCAAAACCATATGCTATGGATAATGCCCTGTGGAATTTGCAAGCAGACTTTTAGTATAATTATTACTACTTAACAGCATTATGGAGGAGAATGAAGCAATGGATGACAATATTTTAAGTACTGTAATCTAGTTTAGATATAGAATTCTAATTATTGATTGTTTTTTGATCTAATGTGAAAGTAAAGGTTGTTCAGAGAAGAGAGAGATTTTAATTACTTCAATTTATCTAACTATTTCTCAAGAAAGAGTTGCAATATTGTTTAATTAAAAAAAAAAAGAAAAGAAAAAGAATTTAGTTTCACCTGGGGAAATAAACCTGTGGAAACACAATTTAAAGAAGATTTTATTATCCTCAGTATACTCAATATCCGGTATTACAGAGAAAATGGAGTGAACTTCTGGTAATTGTAAAGTGCTAAATTTTGTATTTCTGTTAGTGTAAAGGAATAGATTAAGTATTGTATATTTTAATAATCAGGATATAAAAATTGCTAAACTTACAGCATTATTTCTAAAATTTTACTGGGAAGATATGGAAAAACAGAAAAGTGTTTTAACATTTTTTTAGTTTCAATGAAATCAAAATTTAATAAAACATATGTACTTAATGAATGACCACTTGTATCTCAAAGCCACTTAGATATTACATGATAAGGAAAATTACTCTAGAAAATTTCTTAATTAATGCAAAGTTTTTATCTTCAGAGATCATAGAAAAGCTAGTTTAACTTTTTACAAAAATTTTTATATGGTTTCTGTTTTAAATAAAATTTTAGGGATTAAATAAACAAATCTCACAGAAATGTTCATGTCCTTCTGCTCTATTTATTAAGATTTTTACTTCATATCTTTGCTTTCCTTCATTTAGTTATAGTTAGAGCCCCCCACTGCTGATGTACAGAGGCAGAGATGCTAAAAATGATTATTGGAATAACCTCAAGCACCTACTGGGGCTTTGTGCCATGTGGACCTGCTCTCTGAAAGGTTAGATGATGACATATATATATCTGTAAAAAAGCTGAAAATATCCCTCATAAGCCAGACTGTGGTCTTCTTTCTATGACATGAATTACATCAATGGGAAATTTTTTGTGAACAGAAGGTTGTGTCAAGATATGTTAAAAAGCAAAAAAACAAAAAAACCCCAACCAACCAACCAACAAAAAGTCAAAAACCAAAATGTTAATCTCAGTGGAAAGTGCCTTATTTTCAATTTGGTGACTAAATATGACAAATGTAAATTAAGGATGTAGGTTTGAAATTACTCTACTCATTTTCTTCCCTAACATTTACTTAACTACACAGTCTGAAACACATTGATTTCTGGATACCACTCAGTTATTATTAGAGTTAATTTTGGTTTTTAATTTAGATTAAGCAATAGTTTCTTACTAAGAGTTCCAAGATTTCCTTGAAAAACACAATCCACACCCAGAAATCCTTTTAAAAGACCTTTGTTACTATCCAGAAACACTGAGGGCCAAACCCTAAATAATTTACACAGCTATTAAGATTGAACAGCAGAAACCAAAAAAAAAAAATGTTTAGTGGATGAGGGACAATAGATGTAAGAACATCCAATAAACCGAAGCAAATACAATACAGAGCAAAAAGGGAACCATGAAAGTTCATGGTTCATTTTGAAAAGAACTTAATAAATTTAATTATTTTCCTGACCCTGTGGACATGTGGTCATCTTACATGTAATACCTTTCTCCTACAGTTCCATTTGATAACAGTATTGGAGATCTGTTCAGATCACTAAACAGCTCATCTTTTTCTTTCATTCTTGTTTTTTAATTTTTTTTTTTCCTTTTCTCCCAAGAACCATAGGTAGAAGGGTTGCTTTCTCCTTCTGTTTTTTTTTTTTTTTTTTTCCTGCAGACTTTTTCTTCCTGGAAAACCACTTCTGAAAGTTAAACCAAAACAAAAGTTTTGTGGATGCCTGTATATTATTAAAATTTGGTTAGAAAAAAATGTAATGATCTACTCAGACTTAAATTTGAGGCTTAGCCTAATGGACTGAAATGTTTCTTTAAAAATACTTAGTTAGAAGATTAATTAAAACAAAGCTTCCTTCCCACCAGATTAAACCATGTATCTGCATAGTCTGGATATCCTGTGGAGCTATTTGTGTACTAGTTAGCAGTGACTGACAGGACTACCCAGTGTGTCAATGTGTCTCTTGTTTTGGTTTATCAGATAACTGGTGAAATGTAACACTGATGGTGTCAGATTCCTATTTACAATATTGTTGGATAAACAAAAACTGCGTAGGGTTGTTTGGGATTTCTCACTCATTTGAATTCTTAAATTGTCTTTCTTGTAATGTCCCTGTTTCTAATTAACAGCATTTAAGAGGGGCTTAACTTGCTTTTGCCTTACTGAACAAACCATGTCCAGTTTCACATGCAAGAAGAGCTTTCTACTGTTATAATTTATGACACAGAAAAACACAAATGAAAACATGCAATGATATTTTTTCTTTACTTCCAGGCTTAGGTTGGCCACCTCGATAGAAATTATTTGCATATGAAAACAATTTTATACTGTGCAGAATGAAGTTTATACTGTGTGGAAAGATGTTTTTGGTAGCATAGAATAATTCAAAGGCTTCTTCTCAATAACTCAAATAGCTATACTGACTGAAAATTCCAGCAGATATTGGAAATTCTCAGTTTTGACTCTACACAACTAGGAGGGTTTAAAAATCAGTTAATTTTACTAATGAACTTTGTTCACCCTACATTGGATAAAAGCAAAACGAGTAACCCAAAGAAACCTGACCTTGGATTAGGTACTCCAGATATCCAGCTGCAGTAGATAATAGGAAACATGAAGTCTCAGAGAACTTCCATCTCAGAAATGTCTTTCCAAGCTCTTATTATTTAGGCAACAGCTTGTGACATGGTCTTCATTATTTATATTTTATTATGGCATTATTAAAATATAATATTTAGTATGTCCAAAATAATAATACACTTGTACTTCTGTCAGAATAAGCAATTAATCTCCAAATTTACTCATGCACAAAATTCTTTTTCAAGAGATCACTAAAGTTTACAGAGGAGTAAGATTAGAGAATACTGAAATTTACTGATGTTATCAGACTTCTCTCTGTTGTTTTGTCAGTTCCTCAATTTCCATCAATTATCCTGCACTAAAAATACAATGAAAAGCCTTAATTAATACAGAAATGG